TAAAAGCTGATAACAATAATAGAGACACTGTATATTACAATAGTAGAGGAAAGTATAGCTATGCTTCGTTACTTCATGCAGTGTCTATTCCATAATGCAAGTAATAACTAGACGTATCTTAATACTTTATGCCATTTATTAAAATTTCATGGAACATGAACACAAAAGTTGAACATTCCATCTAGACATCTCCACTGCATCTTTACCTACAAAGAAATCAGTATAACCATATTATACTTATCTTCTTTGCAATCCTCAACATTTCATGATTAAAAATTTTTCCCATTTTTATTATTCTTCCATGAGATAACGAGGATAAAGAGAGTTGGTTAGGCACCCTGTACACAGATTCTGTATACATAAATCACAGCATTCATAGACATAACATACTAAATACCTAATACACCTCCGTTCTGTTTTCATTCACAGAACACACGTGACAAAAGTTTCCCTGTGAACCCGTGGAACTTTGGTCCCCTGGAATTCCATGAAGAATTTGTTCCCGTGGAGGTGGCAAAGATTACTACAGTTCCCTATGCGCAATCGATCCCGAATCGTACAGGTGCAGCGTAACCGTTTCTTCGAATCGGTTCAACCACGTCGTCCACCTTGGCGGTGGAAAATTTGTCGGATTCATTATACCGAGAAACTGTGAGGTCGCGTTTGGTATCGAGTACAGAGCGAACGACGAGGAGGGAACGGAAAGAAAACGGCAGGCAGAGGATATCGAAGTGCAGCGTCGACAAATTCCTCGCTCAACAAAATGGCCAATCCTATCCTCGTCCTCCGTCGTTCTATTCCGGCTCTTTTGCGACACTTGCCGTCTAGACCAACAAAATTCTGTCTGTCCTGTCACCTTGGCCCGCTAGGTTAAAGCAAACGGATAGACCTTAAAGATTCCTTCTTTTCTTCCGACTTCTTCTCCGCGTATCTGCTTACACCGTTCCTCCTCGTTGCTCGTTATCCATGTACCCCATGTAAACGGTTCATGTAACCGGCTAGCCGGCTGTTTGCACTCGCCGATGCGTATCTCGAGGTACACGTGCCGAACTGAGAAAAATGCGTACTATCGAACGGCGTTCGTACGGTCACTGGTTCAGAAATTACGAAACAGACGACGCGGAGACACTGGTATAATAATACATTCGTTGTAACGTCTTCTTGAGTTTCTTGGCTTCGGCTATACCTAATTGCTTGCGTTGTGGTTTAATTACGAGAAACTGCGCATTGTAAAATTATTTCATTTTAGTCAGTCGGTATACAGGTGTCTTGCTCGCGATAGAATTATAAAAATTTGTAGGATTCGAAGAAATTTTGAGCATGTTAAAACACGGTACGTGTAATTTTAGTTTGATACGAATGTGATTCGTTTTTGCGGAGTTTAGTATGAGTTTGAGCTTCGAATTAAGGTTCTTTATAGCGAAAATAATCTTCGAGCATAGAGGGTTGATTTTTATTGTACGACTCTGATTGATATTTAGATCCAGGTCGATAGTCATGTTATCAAATCGTATTAGTGCTTATCAGTCTAGTCGATTTTATCGTTTCACGACATTTATAATATCTAGGCAGGAAAAAGGAAGGAAAGATAAATTGTAACATAGTAGAATTTCATATAAAGACGTCAAGCAACGTGTTAATTAAACTTTATCATTTGAAAGCACTCGCGGTAATATTCATAATTCAACGTTAACGTGATACTTGTGAAATAAGGGGAAAGAGAGAAATATTTTTAAAGCGAATAATGTATTTCTTTTGAAATAGTAGAATTTTTGTAATCGCATAGAGAACAGCGTGGCGTAACGCTGTAAAGGGGAGGCGCTTATTAAAACTTTGAAAAGTGCATCGTTGCATGCAGGACAAATTTGTTTCCAAGCGCGGCGAACGGGTGGAAATGAGAAATAAAGGAGAAAAAACGAAACCTAGTAGGGGTAGACAGACAGGGAAAAGAGAGGGTGCGGAACGAAAATTTGATATTCATGAAGCATTTTAAAGTCGTGCCATCCGGGAAATGGGTATAGAATATAGACTGCTAAAGCGGGGTAGACTCGTAGACATTTGTGGAAACCTATTTAGATGCGAGTTCGTGATTCGCGCCCGCCATTCGCATTTTTCCTTGCAAATACTCGTACGTCGAACATTTGTTTAATAAAAGGGAATAAAACGAAGAATCGATAATGAAAACTCTGAAACTTGTGAGGAATATTTCTCGATGATTATTTATGAATTCATATATTATACATTTCTTTTTTAGATTCGCGAAATGGTAGGGAAGAAAAATCGTAAGAGACTATTTTAAGTTTAATAATGATATCGATACGAATATCGACACGAAATTTGTATAATTTTTGATAGGATAAATAGATTATTAGTGGTAATTATTATTAAGGACAGTAATGAATGTACGAATGTACGATAGTAGTAATAACAATAACAAATTTTAGTATAGCACAAGATAATTTTTAGCATAAATTTTGTTTATTCAAAAGCACGTGTAGCTATTGCGAAACGCATGAAATGTGTAACAACAAAATATTTCGAAAATGAGAGCGATAAGAAATGTAGTTCATGAAAGCATATACACATATATATATATGTGTGCAAATGCAGTGCACTGGAATACAAATTGTGTGAGCTTATTCCACTTGTAAGAAACCAGTGTATATTAACTTGTCTCTCAACTGTGCACCAGAATTTTGGAAATTAAACAAATTCAACGAATGAATGCATCGAATGGACAAGTACAATCTTGACACCCTATAGATATCACTGAAACATTAAAAATAATGTTACTCAGAAAAGCAATAAGTTTGGAAAATGGTTCCTGTACATTACCTGCATCGATGAAATTTAAACCTTGGACAAAATTCTGCAAAAAGTAATTAAATCGCAAACGTAAATCTTCTCAACCGTCTCCTGTGCATTCTTAACTACTTTGCACTCCAAGAACCTTTTAACTCGATCAACCAACAGGTTCAACATACTTTTTCATGAGAAACTCCTTGAAACGAGAAGATTTGCTTGGGAAAAAATGAAACTTATAAAGATCTGTGAATTTATTTATATAGAAATCTCACCTTCCCATTTTATCGGTGAAAACAATACTAAACGACAAATTACAAGTTATATATATCTCCGTAATGACGACAGTGGACTGCGAAGTTATCTGCAAAGAATTAATTCGTATTTAAAATAAAAGGAATCATACGAATTATCTTCAGAATTTTACCAGGTACACTTTACGTGGTTATCATAAGCATGAACGAGGAAATAATTAATAAATAATTAATAAAAATTACAGAACTATTCGATGCGCTCGATCCACTGAATTTTCGGCCACGTCGATCCACCAAGAAACAAAGAACGCAGCCAGTTATCCAACCCTAACGAGAATTTGTGCAGACCATCCTATTCGAGACTCGGAATAAGGTCACGCATTTAATCTCCGGCCGTTTCCCTCTGAAAATCTGGATCGAACCCGAAACCTTTTTCCATTCACGATCCCGTGGAAACCGGCCTGACATCCGCGTTCCCTAATTTCGGTCATGCGACCGTCAGCATATTTCATCGACGAGCATCGTCGCGTGTTTCAGATGCGTCGGTGTCGCATAAGCCGTGCAGCTCTCCCGCGGAAAATCGTGCCGTTTCCGATTTCGAGATCGTGGACACACGATAACGGGTCACCTCTTATATACCGACCGCCGCTAAATTGAAATCCCGAAGAAAGAGCGTATACGCTAGCAAGGACCGGGAGACGGGGTGCGCGCGTACGACGCTGGCGAGTGGTGGTGGTGGGGGTGAGCGGAGAGGAGCAACGCGTCCGCTGAAAAATTATAATAATCACTTTAGAAATTAATGGTACCTCCGCGGAGGCACGGTATCCGTGCCGGGAGTGACAAGGTGCTCTGCAGATGGTGGGGCTAAGAGAGAAGCGAGCAAATGGCGACTCCTTGCCGCCTGGCCAATCGCTGCATGCGACAGAGGGCCGAGTAACAGCGGTTACGCCTACTTGTGACATCACTGTGTCCTGCGCGTAGCGCCACTCTCCACCACACTCGACGGACCAGTCACCACTCGGACGACGTATCCAGCACCGCTTACCACGCGTCTTCTTTTTCTCTTTTCTGCCGGATCCCGGCTACACGAATTATGCACACAGCCCCCGAACCATCGCCTAGTTCTTCTACTCGAGATCGATACAGTTCAAACTCGAGGATTGATGGTTGTGTAACGGACCCGTTACGGGGACCACTTTTTGGCGGGAACGGGTCACGGAAAAGTGTGCGCGGGTGACAGTGTTGCCAGTGGTTCGCCAGTATCTCTACCGACGCGACGGACGTCTAGAACGTGGTCTGACCAGTGAATTTCGGTTTGCCGACTGAAACGATCAGCGTGCGACGATGGAGTGGTAACATATACTTACGTGCTTCGCGGAGAGTGACCGACTGCCCTCTCGTAGACGCCGTTGTTATTAACTACCGCTTGAAAACATCGAGCCTCGCCAATCACTGTTTATCCTACTACCTTTTATCGCCGCATCTATCTATCGCTGTATACATCACGTCGTTGCGACGGTTATCGTATAAGAGAGTTTTTAATACGTCCAGGAAATTTATACGAAATTACAAAATCGTATTCCAATTGAATAATAACGATACATAAGGACAACGATTGTAAAGTATAATAACGAACGGTACGTAAATCTTTCATAGATATCAGTGAATCTGGGGTGAAAATCGAGGGTATTGGCTCACGTGGCTGGTTGTAATCGGTGTCACGTTCGCGAGAGATCGGGAGTCGAGGTCTCGCGTCGTTAGGCGGAGTCGTGTTGAAAGGTGGTTACGACGCAACAAACGGTGACGAGTTGTCCAGGAGGTGGCGAGGGCGGCGGCGGTGGAGGTGGCGGTGGCAGCGAGAAGACGCTCCCGTATGCGGCCACAACGAGCACGGTAGAGGAGGTGGAGGCGCAGGAGGTGGAGGTAGAGGTCGACGAGGTTAAGATGGAAGCCGAGGAGCATCTCGCGAGGGAATACGTACAGGAGTTTGTTCTCGATCATCTCGATCCCGCCGACGTTAAACGGGAGGTTAGTGCTTGATTCTTTCTACTGGATGAATCTGGTAACGCTCATGGTAACATTTCAGATAATATTCCATTCTATTATATCGATCTTTTTCATTTTATTTCATTTTTCGTGAAATCGTGACCGCCATTATTATTCCCGGTTTTTGATTCGATTATGATTTGAAGGGAGAAATTGTTCGAGGTGTGTGCGTAATTGGCGATTTTATTCGATCTGCTGTGAATCGACGAGTCTGAGAGTAAGTAGAATTATCGAAATATGTTTCGAGCATTTCGATGTATCGCGACTTAATTTTGGCTTTGATTTTAGAATGTTGGTAACACGGAATGGAGAGATTGGACGTTTTAATGGAGAGATCTTGTGATTTTTTTTATTATTCGGAAAGGAAGTGATGGTTTGAGTGTGCTGATGGAAATGAATCTTGATGGAGATCAGTGATAGGATTTATCATAATTGCTATGTCATCTATGAATTATGAATTGGTTTTTCAGTGTGTGGCAAAAAGTTGTTGGTAGATGTCGAACGTATCGCATTATATATTATTTTTAACGGGCTAATTCATTTTTTCGCGGGATCATTGGAATTATGTTGTTAGATACAGTTTTTGATAAGATCAATCTATTCAATTACTTTAGTCGATTGAAAAATAATTTTTGTTATCGAATGTCTGTCGATTCGTTGAAAATCCACGTTAACGAACGTTCATTGAGGAAGATCATTCACGAGTTGGTTTTATCGTATATGTTCTCTTTTTGCCTGCTTTTTAGCGAACACACGACAAATTAATTCACGTGTATTATGATTTGTCATACGCAAAAAATTTCCACCGATATTGAGATTGTGTGTATAAATGGAATCACGTGCATCATTTTGCATTATATAAGCTTGAAATTATTACTTTGTATATTTGTATGCAAAAAACAAAACACGTTGAACCACGTCAATACCGGTGATAAATATTAAATATTTCGAGCAGTGTCTCGAGGTTTTGAATTTGCATAATAGATATCACACGACACTTTGTCAATCGAAAATTATTTTTTTGCAATTCACGTAAATTAGACTCATAGATTGCCATCGGTAGGAGTCTTGTTCTTTAATTTATTTGAAATCTAGCATTTTTTCTCTCTAATATCTTACAAATGTATCCAAGTGTTGTTTACAAAAAGTACCACTAAATTAATACAATGAATTTAGGTTATCTATGCTTCAGGGTTACATAATTTACATTTTTATTGACTTGAATATTATCGACGACATTAATTATTATTAATGAACTTGAACTTGTCACATTAATCATAGCTGTTACACACAATATTCAACACTGTAAGATATCTTATTTATTTCCAACAACTCCAGATACAATACAGATTTTCTATCATTATTCAATCTCACTTATGCAACTTTCATTCCTACCTCTTTACACGTTCAGTTCCAAAACTCCAATCTAATCACACAGGATTATACCTTAGATACATTAAACTAATATTTTACTCACATCATCATAAACTATCATTTTCTCCCTAAAAACATACAGTTACTATTGAACACAGTTAAACTTTAGATACGACACAAACTATTTCCTCAATTAACATTTCATTACAAACCTCAGTATTAGGTATTTCTATGAAAAAATATTTATACACACATTCTTTGTATTCCACTTATATTATATACAATAAGACTATAGTTCTACATTTCAATTTGTTCAAGTACAACAAATAATATTACTAGTACTGTAACTAGTATTCAGCCTCAAGAATACACTCCATAAAAATCCACAAGCCAAAATATCCAACAAACTAACACTATGGTTCTTTATGTTATCCAGGTACGAATCAGCTCTCCAATGATGGTGAACGGTAGCGTAGTGCAGTTACCTGGTCAGGTACAAACGCAAGGTCTGGCTCTGGCGCCTTTGACGCCGCCAGCGCACGAGTTAGAGCAGCCCCATCCGCTTTACGGGCAGCCGCACATTCAGGTGCAGCACGGTGTCCTGGTGAAGGCACCACCGGGTACAGCATCGCATCTGACGACTCTCTCGCATCCTGGAACACCGCCGGACACGCCTCCGGTCTCGGCATCACCGCCGCCGTTGCAGTTGCACCGGGGTGAGCGTGATTCCCGCGACAGAGGTTTGTTCCTGCATCTGCAACAGCCTGGATCCATCGTCCAGGACGAGATGCAGGCAGGTACCGGTGGTATGGGCTGGCTGACGCAGTCTCTCAGGCAGGAGCCGCTAGATCTCAGGCCTCATTGCCCTCAGGAGCAGACGCCGGAACCTCATCATGAGGCATGGCCCTCTACGCCAACGCATCATCATTTCCAAGACCTGCAGCATCTGCAGCGTCACCCGAGACATGGTAAGTGGAGGAATTTTAGGTACTCTTTGGACACACTTGGATTGGAATATTGGTTGGTCTTTGCGGCTTGGAGTGAGGATTGGGTGTTGGGAAGGTACAGTGGCTACCAAAGATGTCTGTCCAGTTTAGGATTTTAATGTATGAACTATGAGTTAGAGATGAAGTTGTTTTGGAAGCTAGTTTAACATATAAGTCTATTTTGAAGAAGTTTGTATTGGTTATGTAATGGGATTATCTGTTGGTTAGACATCTTTGGTGGCTGCTTTAGGATGTGGGTATGACTTGGTATAGGTATATTTTTATGCATCTTTTATTTGTCATCGCACGTGAGTGATTAAGTAATAGTTAAGATAGTAGATTAGAGATAGTAGATTGATATTTAGTAGTTTCTAGCAAAGTCTTACTGAAGAGTACTTCAAATAGTGTTTTAACTACCTAGGGAATCGCGGTTTTGTCTAGTTACCTTCAACAATACCACAGAATCAAGTAGAAGATCTAATATACAAATTAATACTAAATTATTCTTTCTTAATGAAGATTCATTTTTAATAACAATGATATCATTAATGATAGTAATAACGAGTTTGTTTATAATCTTCACGAGCACGTTGGAAAATACGATAAATTTTCGCAAAACACAAACTTGAACTCGATATTAATTCAGAAACAATTACGTAAGATCATGTGATGCGTTTCCAAAATCACGTTCCCAAACACAGACCTTGTTCGCAATCATGCTTCCACTTAACTCTTTCACGACGGCAGCATTGCCTGCCATTAGGGCAGCTTAGAGCCGTGAGATTTTATTATATGGGACGCAATGATGATTTCAATCTCTCGAATATTTCTCGAAAGTTGCCCGAAGCATTTAGATTCGATCGTGATGTCGTTTTTATCGAATTTCCAAAATTTCGAGGAAAGTGATCCTTTGGCATAAATTTATCACATAAAACCTCTTTGTACTATTTTCAAAATTACTGCCAGAATTTGTTTTAGGATAGAAGAACGTAAACGAGTGAAAGACAATTCAAGGATCACAGCAAGATACCTATGTATCATCATAGAAAATCTTTAAATCTGATTCGGTGCATAGGAGTAACGTGTATCAGGCTGCAGCTGTGTCATACATATAACATCGCGTTTCTCACTAGAAAAAGAAATATGTCAATGAGCAAATGAGAAATGAAGAAGGAGATCGCGTTTTTTAATATAAAAATTAATATTATGGTAATGAGAAAAGGAGAAGCAAATAACTCTCAAGCGATGTTTCCTACTAGATTATTATAGTAATTTATCGATTATTATGTAATGCTTTTTACTGGATTTCGTTGCCAGAGGAAACATTTATATAAACAGGGTAATTAAACATTGCAAAAATTCCATGTTATTATAAATTCTTCTAATTCAACAAAATCGCATACATAATTCTTCACGACGACGTACCATCTTTTTTAACTTTAGAGAAATACTTATTCATTACTTATTTATAATTTATTCATATGGTCTCCAGTTTGATGTAACATGCTTCACATTAATTTTATTAAAATTAGATTTCCCGAGCTTGTTTGCTTATGTACATATTTTAGAATACGTTATGTAACCAGACAGACACACGAGTATAGTCGTTTCATAAATAATAATAAATTTCATGAAAGGGTTCGATATGAAGACATTTGAGCGCAGCGAAGCTACTTACTGTGGCAGCTGACACGTAACGCTTCCAGTGAAGTAACCGCACGTGTATAATCAAAGCAATACGCAATTGGTGCAAAGTATTAAGTAAATATAAATATGCAATTACTGTAATGATCGATAAGGTTCGGTGCACTGAGGGTCACGCGCCAATATCACGTTCGCGTTCTAATAGTTTTCGCGTTCACTTTTTCCAATGTAAATGAGACAACTTGCTATCAGAAATTGCATCGTATATAATTTGAATACATCTTCATTCTCATTCATAAATATTAGGATACCTGGTCTCGTGCAAAACACAATCACAGACTTGAATTAAATCGAAATTCTTTCTTCTCTTTAAATTCGTTTAATTCGTATATAGGTTATGTCATCTTTCGATCTAAGGAAGGTTTATTATTATAAAATTTACCATTGGTAGAATCTAGTTGCGTTTCGTGGAAGACTTACAGTATACATGGAACCAAATAATAACAAATATAATAGGAAGCCTAATAATACGAATGTGGGAAGTCAACCGGTGATCGAGATAATTTAATTTTATCGCAAATAATCGATGAAATTTTTATTGTATCGAGCATACGGGTTCTTTACAGTTCACTGTTTTGAAGGAGATAATTTCTCAAGCTTCTAATTTTCCAATGATTTTTTAGGTTAGTTTTCACGATACTTGTACATAGGGCTTGTGCTCTGCTGAAATTTGCATTATACCGACACAGCTGTAGAATGATACTGTACAATAGTGAAATTGTTCGATTATATCGAGTTCGAAAGCATCGACATTAAGAAAATTTAATAAATTCTTATCTAAGTGGTCTTCAACCCTTTCGAAGTCACAGAACAATTTTAAGAAAATTTACGAGAAAGATTCGTAGAGTATTAAAAATAGATATTCGTTAATTTTTATATCATCGCAGTCTCCACTGTATTAATCAAACTTAGAACCCTTAAGAAATCTTTTGCGGACAAACGGTATAGCAAAATGTCGTAATTTCGTATGCAAAGTTACTTCTGACTCCGTGCACCCCTAAGATTAAAATCACGACGTTTAGAATCCACTCGTGAAATTCTACGACTCGAACGAGATAATAATTTCTCAAGCTTCTAATTTTCCAATGATTTTTTAGGTTAGTTTTCGCGATACTTGTACATAGGGCTTGTGCTCTGCTGAAATTTGCATTATACGACACAGCTATAGAAGATACTGTACAATAGTGAAATTGTTCGAGTATATCGAGTTCAAAAACATCGACATTAAGAAAATTTAATAAATTGCTATCTAAGTGGTCTTCAACCCTTTCGAAGTCACAGAACAATTTTGAGAAAATTTATGACAAAGATTCGTAGAGTATTAAAAATAGATATTCGTTAATTTTTATATCATCGCAGTCTTCACAGTATTAATCAAACTTAGAACCCTTCAAAAATCCTTCGTGCACCCCAAAGTTTAAAATCACGACGTTTAGAAAATTGACTTGTGAAATTTTGCGACTGGAACGAGAGAATATGTAAAAATTCGGTGGTCCAGGGAACGAAGGTTTAGCCTAATGATAACTAAGGATCCGTGTAGATTGCAATCCGATGCTTAAACGAGAAATTCCGCGATGGACCGTTCGTTAATAAGAAGGCTCGAAATCGTTTATTCTTCAGAGAGAAGAGAACTGGAAGTCGGGAAATGTTGTTGTCGCAGGTGGATACATCACGATGTCGGGCCACATAGAGTACTATGGGGGTGCAGGAGCAGGCGGCGGGATGCTTCCCGCGGGCGGAAGTGGAATGTCAGGGATGGAAGACAGCATGCAGGGCATACCTATGCAACCGGGAAGGCCGATGAGCGTTTGTTCAGTGAGTTCTTGCGGCGCTGGTGGGCCTAGTCCGGCTCACCGACCAGGAAACGGTCTCTACCCGAACTGCGGGAGTAACAATCCCCAGGAAGAACTCATGAACGACGAGCTGCTCATGTCGCTTTCCGTGCGCGAGTTGAACAAACGCCTCCATGGTTGCCCGCGGGAAGAGGTGAGTCAGGTCTCTTACATTTTTAACGACACTTTCGCATAGGTAATGCCTTCGCTTTGCTTTCATTCTAAATCGTTTCCGGCTCTTTATTTCTAGTCTAATTTCTTCGTTTGCTCTGTGTGTTTTCTATATTTTTCACTTAATTTTAATATTTATTTTTATTTTTATTTTCTCTTTTTTTCGTTTTGCTTTTTGTTTCTTTCGATTGTTCCTGGTTAAGTTTGTTTTCACGTAGACGATACTCGGAGATCGGAGACGGAGTTGTGGATTGTTTGTGCTTATTGGTTTCACGTGTAGGGTGTAATTTGCCGGTAAAGAGGGTTTCAGGAGGGTTCTCGAAGTTGTGAGATTGGTAGGATTTGTTGAGATTAGAGGATTTTTAGAGAAGCGAGCGTGAATTGGTATTCGATGGCTGCAGTAGAACGAATCGGTCGTTGGTCAGACACCAGACTCGCGGATACGTGACACTAGTGTCTGTTTAATTTTACGTTCTGATGTACTCGGTGATTATTCGTACACGGACTGCTAATGTATCGTTTATAATTTTTGTAAGATTGTTGTTGAGAAATTTGATTAGTATTTACTATGTTATATTTGACTGTGAGTTTCAGCTTCGTTCCATTCTATCTTTGTACGGTAATGGCAACCAATTTGCTGTTTTTTAAATTTTCTTTGCCCTATATCGGTATTCTACATTCTTATTTCATTCGAAATATATTAAAAATATTATCTGATATATGTGGTCCAATTTGAAGCATTTTAGGTTGATGTTGAAATAAAATGAAATTATGCGAGTATAATATCGTAAATATCATAAGTACAAGCTATTTCGATACATTAACAGTCAGTGTATTTGAAAAAATTTGTCAATTATGAAAAACGAATTAATTCGTCAATCACATATATTTCCCACATTTTCGACACTCAACTAACATAACCGAAACCATTTTATATACTTCATTACATCGTTATATGTTCATTAAAAACTACATCACTATATTCGCATTGTATCATGTATCGATACTCATGTATCGATAACTAATATATTTACAAAAATCGAGTTGATTCGCCACCAACATTTCATTCGTAATACACTCACTGACAAAATTGAGAAGCACAAAGTGATAATTTACAAATTCGTTATATATCTTTTACTTTCTGAGATACACGGATTAAAATAATTAAAAAAGTACTCTTAATACAGAATATTTGAAAAAATACTGTAGCGATCATCATTCTCAACCTCGCCACTAGATGGATTCCGACTTCAAGGAGGTTCGAGGACTCTTGCAAGTCCTCGGAAAACCTCCGCTTCCTATACATATAACTTCCAGACCTTCCAATAGTGTCTAAGGCAGGACCTGCTAGGTAGCCTTACCGATGAGTCCACTAGCAGGCCCAGGTCTTGAAGCGTATCCTTTCCTTTTCCTTTCATCCTGATTATTATCCTTCATCTAGAAGGGAGGCCCAAGTGTTCCTATGCACTCGCTTTCGAAGCATAAAAATATCCTACATTTATATATTAATCTACGCCAACCATTACCACACACTGATGAGTCCTATCTACCCCTTTCATATATTTACGGTAGGGCCTCTGCCCCTAGGTTTGCCCTTGTCAAATGGTTGCAGGTATCCTGGATGTGGCGATGGTGCGGGAAGGAACGAAAGGAAGAGGAAAGGATGCGTTTCGTCCTGGACCTGCTAGTGAACTCATCAATGAGGCTACCTAGCAGGCCCAGGACGAAAGGTATCCCTTCCTTTTCCTTTCGTCCCTTCTGGCACCACTGCTACACGAAGATACCTGCGACCAGCCGACATCAACAACCGTGGGGGAGAGGCCCCCTTGCAATACTCATCGAATAACATATTCTTTCGTTCTATCTTCGATTTTAACCCTTTGCACTCGAGAGGTGCCCTTCAGTCGCCATTTGATAAAATTTCGAAGCTCCATATTCACAAATGTGTGAAATTTCAGATAATGTAACAGTGTGCGGGGTATCGAAATCAAATAATTCTACGTGTTAATTATCATACGATTTCTTATTCCTGCTCAGAAAAATATCATCAGCTTTGTAACAGAAAATGAAAATTTGAACTCCTATCCTTCTCTGGCCAAAAAATCCTCGAGTGCAAAGGGTTAATACACGTATCTCAGAAGACAAAGGATAGACAAAAATTCGCATGTGATTTTTCACAGTTTCTCAGCTTTCGTCAGTAACCTCATGTACACGTTCCAACACATCCTCCGCTTATCAAAAACACGAATCACACGTAGGAAAAGCCACACACACACACACATACACACCGTCACGTCCTCATTCCCAGATAACCCCGAATAAAACGAATTAATCGAGCTTTATTGATCTTAAACTCTCAGTGCCCAAGAGCAGTTTCCACGTAGGAAACGACTGGGATAACCGAGATAAGTAACGAAATAAGACAGTGCAATAACGATCGAGCAGACAGTACCGATTCACCTCCTATCAAATTGGTATACGCACCATCTTCCATCGAATTCGTTCGTAAAACGGATCCTCCTGTTCTGCGAAGGTCGTGCGTCTGAAGCAGAAGCGACGGACCTTGAAGAACCGTGGCTACGCTCAGAATTGCCGTAGCAAGAGGCTGCAACAACGTCACGACCTCGAGACGACGAATCGAAACCTGCAGAATGAACTTCAGCGGGTGAAGATCGAGCTGGCTCGGGTCCAGCAGGAACGCGATCTCTACAAGCAACGATGCGAGATCCTGAGGACGCGACAGAGCCATAATCATAATCACAACCACAACCATCATCAGCAACAGGCGTCGCAGCCGCAGCAGCAGCCGCAGCCGCAGCAGCAGCAACAACAGCAGCCACAGCAGCAGCAGCAGCCACAGCCGCAGCAGCATCAACCAGCGCAGAATCAACAGCAGCAACCACCGCAACAACAGCAGCAGCCGCCGCAACAGCAACATCAACCAGCGCCTGCCACCCCGGAAGTCTATCTGTGACATCGACAGCGCCGAGGAGGCGCTTGCTGGACCTGAACAGACATCCGTCGTGATCGCCAGGCTCTCGATCGGTGAGTGATCAGTCTATATTTATTTTATTTATGGTCTAACGATCATTTTTAAAAGTTACTTTGCTGTCCAGTCTTCGACACGTCTGTGGGAATCCTCTGAAAACGTGTTTCGGAGGATAAAGGGTTGCTCTAGTAATAATTAATAATTCTCCTGTTTTTAAATTGCGAATTTGTCAATTTGCTTTTTCTTTTATTTAACCCCCTTCAGGACTGCATCTGTGTTCACACGATTTTGATTTTATGTAGCTTTGAGTACTCTTGTTGGAGTTCTCTGAAAAACGTGTTTTAGAGGGTATAGGGTTGCTCTGCTAATAATTAATAATTCTCGTGTTTTTAAATTGCGAATTTGTCAATTTGCTTTTTCTTTTATTTAACCCCCTTCAGGACTACATCTATGTTCACACGATTTTGATTTTATGTAGCTTTGAATACTCTTGTTGGAGTTTTTTGAAAAACGTGTTTTAGAGGATATAGGGTTCCTCTAGTAATGATTAATAATTCTCGTGTTTTTAAATTGCGAATTTGTCAATTTGCTTTTTCTTTTATTTAACCTCTTCAGGGCTGCATCTGTGTTCACACGATTTTGATTTTATATAGCTTTGAATACTCTTGTTGGAGTTTTTTGAAAAACGTGTTTCAGAGGCTAAAGGGTTGCTCTGCTAATAATTAATAATTCTTATGTCTTTAAAGAGAATTTTTCTTTTATTTTGTCAATTTGTCAATTTGTTTTTTTCTTTGTGTAATTCCTGAAGGGGTTACGTTTCTGGTGTATCTAATATTTTTTAACGTTGGTATTGCTTTAACGAGAATCACTATATCGTACTCTTATAGTTTCGAGAATTAAGAATTTTCTTTAGATACTTTTTATACGGTTCGAAAGGATTTTGGGAATATGTAAGCTTATTTTTCGTATTTGAGTTTTTGGAATATTAGTTTGCAGCATCGTGACTATTTTAAAGACAATCCATTTCGTTTTGGAGTTTGTTTTCTTGTTGGACTTTCTGAAAAAGTGGATTAAAAATTCCCTTATAATACTTCTTGCACTTTCACAGAGAATTTTCCTTTTATTATCAGTCTATAAACTGTTATGTTTCTTATTTGAATTCCTAAAGCAATAATTTATAATAATATTGTAATTTTAATACAAAATTCTTTTTATTTTAATTCTTAAAATGATACTTTGAGAATCTGCAATTTTCTTTTCCACTTCGATGAGACTGTTTATTCGAATTTTGGTATAATACTTCGAGGATTAAGCATTTATTTTGAGCCATAATATTCTCTTTATTTTAACGAGCATTGTTATGCTACATTGATTGTTGATTTTGTAATTTGTTATATTATTTACTGTGTGTTATCACATATCGAGAATTCAGCATTTATTTTATTTGATATTCCATTCGGTATTTTATTTCCAATTGATATTCTATTGTTCCAAATTTTTAAAAGTTACTCTCTCGTTGAAATTTCCAGAATAATAAATTGGCAATTATAAATCTTACTTTTGCGAGGTTCATTTGCTTGTACGATTAATCCTTTAATTACCAATTTCTTGCAAAGCTTTCATTTACGAGTCTCGCCTTTTATTATTCCAAATTTCATGCTTCATTTCCGCTCTGCTAGCTATGATACATAAATCATATTTATTTCGATACGAGTATCCTTTATGTATCATTTCAGACATTCCATTTATATTTTCATATCGCAGAGTGAAAACGATTTTCCTCTTATATTTCTGTCAAGAAGAGTACAAAGTGATTTACGAATGGGATTAAACTTGCCGTTTAGATTTTCCATCGGATCAACTTGTAATCCCGCGTAAATCCTCGCATCATAATGAAAATCCTTTTGGCTTTACATCTCCGCATAACTATATTTATAATCCCAATTTTCACGAATAATTTTGCCAAAAACCTCGGAAAATTCGTAGTCGCTTTAAACAGCTTCACTCTCGCTTCACTTTGCAAAAATAATTTGGCAAATGCATCGCTATATAAACAAATGCATAACAAGTATTTTATTTTATTAAATCAAGAAAATTATTACAAGAAGTTATTTTTAATTATATTCCATTCGAATCTTCATCTTCTTTTTCTTTCGCTTAAAATTCGAACGAAATTTCCTAAATTTCCAAACAGCGAAATTTACAAAATTTCACAGACACGTATATAATTCGAATATAATTCGTATAATTCGAATTCTATTTCTTTCTTGTTTTAAATATCACACCTTTCGCTCAGTGTTGCAAGAGAGTCTCATTTCAACGCTATTCGAATTCTAAATGGAAGGAAATCGAGATCGAAAGCAAGAAACGAGAAAAATTATTATGCAGATAGCAAGGAAGATGAAAAACAAAATTATCTCGAAATATAGATCACCGGGACGCACTATGTCATTAACCCCTTGCACTATAATGACGAAACGACACGAGGATGAGCTACGCTCTTCGTACTAATAATAGAATTACACTCGACACGTTTTGGTATAATCCAAGTGAATTTCAAGAACATGTACAATTTTTCGAAATTAAAATAAGCGAAATTAAATACTTCTTTCAGTGCACAGAGTGTTTAGAATCGAATCGTAGTACAAGGGGTTGAAATTGCTTAATTAAAGAGACAAAGAAATAAAGGTGCACTATCGTCGCGAATGATCTAGTTTATTAGTCGATGCGACGAAAGAAAAGTTAAAAAAGAATACGGTAACGATGATTTTTCCAAAACTTTGTTCACAGTGTCATACCTGGCCGCGTGGGGTTGAAAATAATAGACCAGACAAGCGACCAGGGTATACCCCTCGAGAAGCAGTGTTTCTTTTCTTTCAACCGAGACTTAAGTCTTAAGCACATCTTTAAGCTCGTCTACGTGTATATAGCGCTCAGTTCTCCTTCGTTTTCCTTTATATAGCTTTGTTAAGTCACGGCAGAAAAGGGCCTTGACTGTTAAACCGACTTTGTAAATCGTGTATGGAGTTACCAGCGCAACTAAGGTATCATTAGATTAAAGGTAATTAGTTCTATTCTCATAGGTATATGAATATATCGCTCGTGGTAGACTGGACGTCTTTGCCAAATATTGTACCAAATTTTCCAAGATTTGGAGTGATGATAAAAGAGGAGAAAGAAAGTAGGACAGAGAGAAAGAGTGAGAGAGAGAGAGAGAGATACAAGCGAACCGTACTTTGTCGTAGCGCAGAAAAAGGAAGGAGCAAGGATGAGACCAGAGCCTAAGAGATTTCGCAGCGTTTTGAGAGGCTCATCCTGTTGTTTGTTATTTAATTTCTAGCCGAGATATCATTTTCGTAATATGTTCGTCGTAATTCGAAGGATCGGGTTGGATAGCCTTCGTTGCTGCTTCTTACCTCTTAATGTATTTCCTATTTCTGACGTTAATCAGTTGGTAGTCTTGGATCACAGATGACCGCGATGGTTTGAGGTTAGGTTACCCAATCTTTCGATATTTTATTTTATCCCGCATGTTTTGTAGATTAATTTTGGGAGCCTTCGTTGGATAAAATTCCGAATGCAGGATGAAATTAGGGAATTACATATCGAATGTTGAATCAATGGCGGATGAAGGTTCGAGGTTTCTGTTTTAACGCCGCACATTGGAAATGAAACCTAACACTTTAATTGGAAATGAAAGGAATTATCGAAATTGGCGAATAATAAAATTATTTTTAGTTTTTTTATCTTGAAAATTTTACGAGTATTACCATTCGTTTGAATTAAATAGCGTTATCGATCTTAAAATCGGCATCCAATATTAATAGTCTTTATCCCGTTGAATAAGTAGTACAGGATAAAATTAAGTAAAATCGAAAAATCGTGACTAATTTTCATAAAATAAAGTGTACAAAATGGAATTAGGTATTCGAAAAATTATTAATGACTTTTACAAAAGAATACAAAGTGAAATTAAATATCCAAGACACCACGACTAGCTTTTATCTCGCGAAATAAAAAATAGTAAATAGAACTGAGCGAGTAAAATTAAAATTCATCGACCTAACTGCATCATCATGGTCATCTATGAACCAACAACATAGGTCGAGGATTAATACATAAGTGTCTACCCTAAATTTATCGATTACGATAAATTTAGAGTAATTAATCATAGAGATTCCAGGGTAGAGGTCCTGGACACCTCTAATTTCCCGTTACTGATAGTTTCTTGTAAATAAGAAGTTTAGAGCAGTGCTGTTCACAGTGGAGCTCCTTAGTCTCGATCCTCCGTCGTTATAAGAAAGAAAGACATTTCGAAAAGAGATCAACGGATTTAACACCTTCCTTCGTCTATCTCTGGCGTTTAGACACCAGGCGAGACTTTTGGGTCGCGGAAAATCCATTTTACACGCGAGCAAGGCTTGAACAGCACTAGCTCGGTATTCAGGGTCCGCGAATCGCTATCCCTTTCGATCGTTCCTCCATTTCTTTATTTTTTACATCGAAATATCTATGCATATTCGCCACAAATCTTCGAGGCTTCCCTCGATCGAGCGAGCAGCCATAGACCTGTCTCTACATAGTGGTCACGTGACCCGTCGGCCATGATTGCTCGGTCGACTCGCTCGATTGTAACAAACGACAACACAGTTCGAATCTATCGTGCATTCCTGATATGGTTTATCCTCCTCTTCTTCTTCCGTTTTTCTCCAACTTTCCCAACAGAGTCAAACACTCGCTTTTGCCTCGACCCGACGTTTTACGCGTTGCAAAATCCGAAGCGGGTGCCATTCGAGTCGCCATTATTAACACATTGGCGTCGGAGCGTTTGGAGTCACAGTGACGTAGACAATTTCGCGTACTTTCCTTCAATCGCGTTGCGTTGCAAAGGAAGTTTACGAAGAGAAATCGAGCCATTTGCGTATGTATAGTCTTCGATAGATTTATTTTAAGACAGATGTATGGAAATCTCGCTGACGCGGATCGTCCTTGGCGAAATTAAAAATTCGAATGGCGGATTTGCGCGTCATCCGACGCGAATGTGTTGAGGTTAAGAAACCACCTCGTGCAGTTAATGGGATTCTGCTTTTACCGTATCGGTCCACGAGCGTGTTCGACTTCGAAGGGTTCAGCGTTCGTTTTCGATGGGGTTGCGACGACGAAGACCCCGATGGATCTCAAGGAAATGCATAAGGACACGTGTCTGGTACATTTTCGTACCGGACACCTCACGGTGATATCGATTTTTAGTACTTATGGCACAAAAAATCTTGTATACGGTAGCTGTATAAATTATTGGCCGAATTTTAGATTTCTTTTTAGGGGATCCTTTAGACCGGATGGAAGGGGCTGACGTTGTAATTATGTACTTTTGCGTAAATTTTGCACAGCGGCGTAAGTTTTTGTGACGAGAATTTGTAGATCGTCGTCGATGTCGATGATTTGTAGTAATCGTTACGAATGAGGATTATTGTAAGAGGAGAATGAGATGAAGAAGTAAGTTAATTCTTTGGTAGGTGCGCCTTTTCTTTTGGTCTTCTTTTTTCTTTTCTTTTTTTTGATTGTTCGTTTAGGTATAATTATGCGGGACGAGATGTGTGTCGGAGAGTATAGCATCGATTTGATGCACAAAAATTACGCCACTGTCATATCGGATGACATATGAAGTTATATGTTATTGTTTCGTCGTGGTTGGATTACGTTGAGTCGTTTCCGATTCGACTTAAGAATGTTTTAATTCCCGTTACATCGTCTCATGTGTACATAAAATAATTATTATACTTCTTATTATAAATAAATGTCGATATCGGCAGTTTCAGATATCTTCTGCTGTGTTTTTGCACCTGAGTCTATGATCACTCCTTTCCTTCAGTGCACCTTTCTTTTTAGCGAAAAGAAGTGAGGGAGGAAAACGAACAGCTTTCATGGTAATTAAATATAAGACGATAATTAAGTGTAAGATTGGAGGCCTAATTAAAAGGAAGAATTGACATAATTTTTCCGTCAATATTGTGTTCGGTATTTTATTAAAATCTGACGTTTAATTGGGATAGTATGATTAACGCGAAATCAGATTATTTGGGTCACGATATTTTTATTCTTCGAAGTCTCTTTCTGAGTTTTTAACGTTTCGAAAGCTTCCAAAGTTTGCCAACTCTTTCATGCAGAAACGATTCTTCTTAGAATTCTTTTTCAAATTTATTTCATTTATTTTGATCAATCATACGAGACTAAATGCACAGTATACCATGATTAAATATTTAAATTCGAGTGTTCGAAAAATATTAGACATATTCAGAAGATATGGAAAAGTTAGGGACTCTATTTAATATTTTCACGTATAAATTAATAAAATTAATAAAATTAATAAACATAATTTTGGTTGTACCTTGTCTATTAATTCTTCGTCTATTATTATTTTAACGTCACCAATATTTTGGTGAATATTCGACTGTTATCCTATATCCAAATCCACTCCTAGAGTTGCTCATAAAAATCACGCTTGATACTGTAGAACATAGTATGAAACCCTTTATTTTTCACGAAATTATATTTTATAGTACATTCCAACTTTGTCGAGTAGACACTTATGTTAGATTTTTCACAAGAATAATATAATTCTAAACCTATGCTAAAAAATTAGATGCTACAATTACTATCACATTTCTATTCTACCACAATTACGTTCATCTCATTTCTTCAAAAAATAGGAAAATAACAAACAATAGTTATCCTCAATCCCAAATGAAAAGTTTAAAACGATCACTATTATTACCATTTCTATTATAATTACATTACCTAATCACGTTACTATTATATCACATCTATGTTCATTTCGTTTCTCTAAAAATCACCAAAATGGCTAACAATAATTGTCTTCAGCCCTAAATGGAGAACCAAAGCCAATCACTATCGTTACCATGTATATCACAATTGTATTACTTAATCACATCTCAGTTATCAAAAATCCAGGTGTTCCTACTTCCCCTGTATCAGATTTATGCTATTCACACTATTCACTTTTGCACAATTTGCATTATCCGCTTTGTAGGCAACGTATCTGGCCATTTAAACGAACATCGTTCTCCTTCTGGATCGATACGAAACTACAGAAATAGGGGAATAAAATTGCTTAATTAAACTGGAAGAGAAAGCAAAGGCAGAAATAAAGAGAGAGAGAGAGAAAGAGAAAATGAAGGATAAAGAAAGACTATGGAACGAAAAGTTCTGGTTAGCGGTGTGCATTTCGCGTGATTCTAGGTGTAACGTGCAATGTGCAGTCTCAGCGTTTCATTTGAGAGGCAGACACGAGCACTGGGTATGGAATCCCCTTCATTCTTTTATGCACCAACAAACCTTCTCCTGTCTATCTCTCTCTCCTTGCCATTCTCATTAACCTTACCGTAACACCGAGCAACAAATATTTGCAACACGTGCAACAGTTTCGAATTACGATGAATTTGATACGGTGAATGTTCTCGACCAATTCGAATTTCAGTCGTGTTCGTTTTCGTGTTCAGTTTCCTCCTCGGTATGGGTTCGCGAATAATTTTGTTATCCTTTTTCATTTTCCCTCCTTCTCTTTTTTCCCGACTGGATAAATCGGATACACCACAAAGCGAGAAATAAAAGAATTTTTATTGGAATTTTTCATTTTATTGGAATATTGGAAATGATGATCGCGTAATTTATGAATTTCAAGCAGCAATTGGATTGAAAAAATTGGCAGAGTTTGAAAAGTTATGTGGTATAGATTAAAAATAGTGTAAGATTAAAAATATGGAGAGTTTATAAATAGTACGAATTTGGAATAGGATTTTTATTTGTTTTTTGGGAATA